CATCAAACTCATCCTCATCAGCAGAGGCTGGGCGTTCGTGAGAGCCAGAGGCATCCAAGCCAGCACCTAGCATGTCGTCAAATTCAGACGTTGAGTGTCGCTGATCTTTGGCGTTGACTTGTTTGTGGAGTTGCTGCAAGAATTTTGGCACTTGACCCGCATTGAACTCGAGGTTGCGCGCCGGCAAGGGCTTGTCTTTGGGTGCCATGTTGGGGAGGATGAATGCGGCAGGGGGCAACGTCGCCTTGTTGAGATTCAACTTGTGGAGGTGTCCAGAACAGCGTCAAAAAAGCGATGCGAGTGGAGGGCTCCCTTCCGACTGATCGTGGTCATTGTCGAGGATTAGACGCTTGAATGGAGCGCTTGGTTGTGCCCTCCTCGTCAGTCTCTGCTGGACCTGCCTGCTGCTGCCCTGCTTGCTGTCTGCAGAAACTTTACGCGCGCCAAAATCAACTTTTTTCTTGACACAGCCCGACGCATCACGTGACAGGAAACCTAGCTTCTCCCCCCCAGCCGTCAACAAGTCAAACTTGGTGACATTCTGGTCTGGCTTGGCTCATCTCCCATGAAGAGTTCCGGCTTCCAACCACGGTTGCTCAAACCTGACGCTGCCGTAGATGCCAGCGACAGTCCCCGAGTCTAATTGGTTCAACATTGATTATCGTTTGAGCCAACCTACGCGCCAACACAGACCATCTGCCCGCCTCGTCGCATCGATCCGCAATGGCCCGCCTGCCCCCCGCCAGCACTTCGACAGAGCACTACACCGCTCGCGATCTTTTCGGAGGAGCAATCAAGGTGGATGTACCATTCTCATTCCTAGACGTGAGGTGAGCATCGCGCGTTCACCTTCCAAGCCTCTGCGGAGAGCGAGCGAGCGAGCGAGCGAGCCTCCTCTGACTGTCCTGCGCGCACCCTTCCTGGATGCCCTCGTTGCTTTTCCACCCCGGCACCAGTGATGTTCGGCAAGTGCCAGATACTCAGGAGGTGCACGTGTCGAGGGACAAGGACGACATCAGCTTGATTGTAGAGATATTGCAGGCCGTGGATGTCGTTGCGCAGCAACCTGGCCGCAGTGAGTTGGAAAGTGCCGTGAGGTGAGTCGATTTGCTGGAAGTCTCAGGGCGCAGATGGCGCGTGGTGTGCTTCGATTAGAAAGTTGCACGCATCCAAGAGACATTCGGGCAGCTTCGACTGATTGCGCAACAAGTATCAGCCCTGCTGACGGCCTTTCGCGGGATGTGCAGGTATCACTTTGACTCGATAGCGCACGATGGTGGGGCAGCAAGCTCCTCTGTCAAGCACGTTTGGACGACATCGCCGTCACCAGCGACAAGTGTCTCACAGCCAAGCACGCCTTGCGCAGTCCTTCTCATGGGTGAACAGAGCGTGGTCAAGTACGGAGAACGTTTCGCGCATTCGGCTCAGGACAGGATACGGGTTTGGGTGGCGCTCTTTAGACTCAGACCGGCGCGCAACATTGATTTGGTGCTCAGCGTGAATGAGCCCCTGGCTCAAGCTGTGGCCGATAATGACACTGGGCAGGAGGATCTGCGAGCAGAAAGCGCAGGCGAAAGGGTCGAACAGGTCAAAGATGAAGCTGCGGAGAGTCGGGCTAGAGGGATCTTTGAGAGGGCAGCTGGAACGCTCCGCATACATGACTGGGATCTCTTTGCGGAATGAATGCGTTCACATGATCCATACTGGCACTCGAGTGACATTGCCGCTGTGTGCGCGTGTGCAGCTCAGGCCTCTCTGTGCGGTGTCTGACGCAGTGCGCAATGAAATCGTACTCCTCCGATCAACTCGTCAATGGCAGTGGGTGAATATTGCCCTGCGGCGACAGACACGCTTGATTGGAAGTGCACATCGGGGTCCGCTGATGGATCAAGCCATGGCATTACACCGGTGTGCGGCTGCAAAGGTGCGCGATGGTAGCGCATTCACACTTAGTTTTCCTCGATGGCGCAAATGGCATCCACCTTGGCAGCGCTGGGAGAGTTGGGGTCCCAAACGTGTCCGAGCCAGCCTTTGGCCAAGTTGCGAGCGAGCCTGAAAGAGGTGAATTGAAAACGTCAGACACTGCGTGGGCTGGAGCTCAATGCAGAGCAACGTGCGTGGCAGCACTCACTCCAGACCAACGACGCGCTGACCGAAACACAAGACCTGAGCATTGTTCGAGAGCACAGAGCGCTCGACAGAGAAGGGGTCGTGAGCAGTAACGGCGCGAACACCCTTTACTTTGTTGGCAGAGATGGCAACGCCGAGACCAGTGCCGCAAACGAGCAGAGCGCGGTCAACCTCGCCAGAGGCGACCTTTTGCGCAGCCAGCTTGGCAACGTTGGGGTAGGCTGCCGGACAAGCCAAGGAGGCGG